TAAAAATTGTATTATATTCCTTAAATGTCTCCGAGTGTAAAACTGTTTTGAAAAAAAATGAGCTTCAATTAGAAAAAAAGTTATTAATTAAAAACTGCAGTTGTGTAGAGCTTTACATGACGTTAAACTCGCCCTGCGCACATTGGCATTTTTTACAATTTAATGTTCAAATTGTCTGGAGCCTACAAATTTTATCGGATTTTGATGGTCTTAAATTAAAGGGGATAAAATTTCTAAACCAATTTTTGAATTTTAAATTGTTTATAATTAGTCTAGCATGACCACCAGACAAATAATAATTTATAATACAATTTACTTAAATTGGTGCAAACAATCTTATAATTAACAAATAGATAACTTTGGTTCTTATTTTTATAAAAATTTTTTTTCTTGCAGCCAAATTTATGTTTATTCAAGTAATCTATGTCAATATGTACATTCTTTTAAAAACTTTAAAAAATTATTAGCACAAACAATTACATTTGTTTTTAACAAATTATTTACTTTTTAAACAAATAAATGGCTTATTTCTGCAAAAATAAATTTTTTTTTCTGATTTTAACGAGTTTAAAGTCATGTAAAGATCTACTCACCGAGAAAAATAGTTATCTATTTCAGCTAATTTTTAGCTACCTTAGCTAACCTTAATTGCTTTTATATGTATAGCAATTATTGTTAGCTAATGCAGCTAATAATTAGCTAAAATTGCTAACTTTTTTTGCTAAAACAGCGAATTATTAGCTGTAATAGCTAAAAATTCGCTATCCACATAATAGCAAACTCATTTTTCTCCGTGCTTGATTATTGATAACTACATTATTGTTCATATGATTGATTAAATTCAAAATAGTTTTTTACCAAAATCGACATAGATTATTTAAATAAACATAAATTTGGCTGAAAAAAATTTTTTTATAAAAAAGAACCAAAGTTATCTATTTGTTAATTAAGATTGTTTGCAACAATTTAAATAAATTGTATTATAAATTATTATTTGTCTAGTGGTCATGCTAGAATAATTTAAATTGATTTCAATCCCCGGTAAGAAGCGAGGAATTGAAAAGAATTCAGAAGTTCATTTCTTTTGAATGGGCGAATTTCCAAAATAATCCAATTCCTCGGTGGAGCAAGGAAAAGTAGCAAAATCTATTATTCTTAATTGACTTCACCAAAATATGAAACGCGCATTCAAAAGAGTGAGAGAGTACAACAAATCAGTAGAAATTTCTGTTCCACTGAATTGCTTTACTATCACTCAATATTTCACTTGAAAAAAAGGTTAGGTTTTGTAAACTTGACGTTAAACATTGAACACTTAAAAATTTCTTTCATTTATTTGAATAAGAGAATTTTTTATTTTATCGTAAGCACTGTGCGTTTTTAACCATATTTTCACTAGTTTTAATATTTCATTTTAATAATTTAGCACTGAAATCACAATGAAATTCACACGACGCGAAAACTAGCTGTCACTGCGTTTTATTTTAAGACAATAACTAGAGGAGCTCCTACAAATAATTGGAAAGATTAGGCTTTTTCAAATTGTTTGTCAAAAGTTCTATTCCTTTTAATGCGTTTCTAAAATTCGAAGCAGTCAATTGAAAAGAATAAACAATTTCTATTCGTTTGAATTGACTACGTAGAATCGCTTAAAGTCGATTGAAAAGAATAGCTATTTCTTATTTTTTTCAATTCGCTTTTACAAGATTTACTTTGTCGATTCAAAAGGATAGGATTCTGTATATTTTTTGGAACGTTGAGAAGCAGAAAAATTTTGCGCATTCGAAAAAAATATAAACAATTTAAAATTCAAAAATTGGTTTAGAGGGATCTCTTAGAAATTTTATCCCCTTTAATTGACATTTTATAAACAAATAATATAAAAAATTATAAAAAATAGAAAAATTTAAAAACAAAATATGTATATATTCGAATAGTGCAATTCAAGACGAAAAAAACCCATATTTTAAATTTTAAATCTGTCAACTGGAACTCGAGAAAAAAATTTGTTAATTTAGCAGTATTAAAAAATTCAACTGTTAAGAACTTTTACAAAAAAATTTTTTTGGCTTAATATTTTCAGGGATTCTTCTTAACCATATTAAGAGTAAAAAAGAATATTTTTGTTCAATAAGAAAATTTTTTAGTTTTAGGTGATCTGTTTGAGAAATTCTGACACAAATATTTTTTTTAAGACAAGAAAAAAAGTTGAAAAAGTCGCATTTTTTTAGAAAAAGTCAAAAAAGTAGAAAAAGTCGCATTTTTTTTTAGAAAAAGTCGTATTTTTCAAGATATCCGAGGCCTGCTGATTGCATAAATTAAATTATTTTCAAAAGTAAAAAAATTTTTTGCAGGTTCAAGAATTTTTTAATATTCTTGTCAAAATGTCAAAAATATTTTTTTTTAAGAATTCAATTATTTTCATAAATAAAACTCATCGCAGAGTTTTAATTATTTTTAATCAAATTCATCGAAAAATGTAATTGTTCTTAAAAATTTTATGAAAAACCGTTAAAAGAAATCAATTATCTAAAAATGTTTTGATAAAATTCTTTATGAGATTTCAATTTTAAGAAATTTTAATTATTCAATAAATTATTTATTTTTGCATTTCAATTATTGAATTATCTAATAAAAATTTATTTAAAAATGAATTTCAGTTAAAGTTTTACATAATATGTAATTGAATATTAAAAGCATCATAGCATGGATTTTAAGAAATAATTAAATTTTAAAATGGTTTTAAATTAAATTCTTTAAAAATAATTTGTATTTTTCATACTTATAACTAATAATTCTGTAGAATTAATTATTTTAAAAAAGTTTAATTGAATTTTTTTCTGAAATGCTGATTTAATCAGCGTATATAAGCTAAAAAATCAGTGACTATTCGCTGATTCATTAGTGTATATACGCTGATTGAATCAGCTGCATACTTATAGCTACCCAATCAGCGACTTTTCGCTGATTCAAATTTAGAGAGAATGTAATAGAACATTTTTTGGAGTGTCTAATCATTTTTAGAGTGTATCAGAATATTCTTTAGGGTCAGGGAGGAAGTCAAAATTTTGTCAAGTAATTAAGTTTTCCATATTAAAAAAAAGAAAATAGGGTAAGTGTACCAATTGCCGAAGGTGTCCCATTTGTCGATGTTACCATGGTAATAACCAAAATATATTGTCTAAAATGTCTCATTTGTTTGTGGATATAATATTAATATATTTTTTTCACATTTATAACGCATAAGAAAATTAATATTTATCACTTTTTTCCATTTACAATGTGCTCCAATGTTTAAATAAAATTCAAAGTTTGTTTACTCGACAACAGGAACCATCCTCGACAATTGGACAATTGTACAATTTCGACAATTGTACGTTTACTCTATTTTGCAGGATTTACATTTGTTAAAAAATTATCTATAATGTTTGTTACAAAATGCTAATTTTTTAGAAACAAAGGAAATAACGAATAATATAATAACATTAATAATTTTTTTATATTATAATAAAAATATTTTTGAATTATTTGAGAAATAAAAATTATATTATTAAATTAAAAAAATAGTAAAAAAATAATGAAGTATAATATTATCTATAAGAACATATAAAAAAAACAAAAGCAGGCACAATAGTCTAACTTCAAGTGTGGACAGACTGGACAGAATGGACAAAATACGACGATTATTATAGTTAATAATTGATTTAGAGAAGAATTTTAGTCAAATATTTTTAAACTAATTAAACTTTTTATTGCCTCACAACTATTACAGTTATGAAATTATAGTCACTAATCTTAGAATCTCATTTAACATTTATCTCACATGTTTCTGTTCGCTGATCATTTTTGTCCAAAATTATTAACAGTTTTATCAATTGTTTCAACTTATTACGCCTATTTAAACCATAAAATTTTTTAATTCTCCTTTAATTAAACTACCATTCTTTAGAACCAATTTTTTAAATAACTCTGTAATTTACAGACTGAGTGGTTCGTAAGGCAAGCCAGTATCACAACGAGCTAACATTTTTCGGCGTTTCACTAAACGCACTAAACTCATTTTTTAGAGAGTTGCGAAATTTTAACTTTGACGACTTTTACAACAATGCGGCTAATTAAATTTACTGATAAGTATTGTTATTGTAATTAGTAAAACTCTAAAGCAGTTCATTTTTTAAAATTGTTTGACATTTCGTAAAATGGAATTGTAAATAAGTGGATTATTGTTATTTTATAGGTAAGCTTTCTTTTTTTCTTTGAATAATTGGATTCTCAAGCAACTTTCTGAAACATTATTATTATAAATAATTAATAATTGATGTAGAGTATTTTTTTTTAAATTACAATACTTTTGGAAAAGTTACAATATCAGACTAATCTTTTTGGTTAAGGTAAAAGTCAAAATTCTGTCAGGAAATAATCAGGGAAAATTAAAATCAAATTTTTGAGGCAACCCTGACAAAAAATATAAAGCACTTTTTGAAAATATAATTGAATAAGGTCGAAAGATTTTTACTATTCGTGGCAGGTATTAATCTTTTAAATTATGAATTTTTATATAATAATAAACAAATGTTTAAACTTTTATATAAGTTACGTATATTTGCATTATTAATTAAATATAAGTAAACCCTTCAACTGCACCTGCAGTTGAAGGGTCAAATAATCTGTCAGTCATTATCTAGTCCGCTTTATATTTCAAGTAAGTAATTTGGTATCTGACGGGCCATTAAAAAAAATTTTTTATGAAATGCAGAATAACTTTATTTTTTACTTATGTTTCATTTCATGCACGAAAGATTAATAATGATTATTTCAACTCCATGGATTAAATTAAATTCTTGATAATTTCAAAATCTAAAAGCTATTACACCTAAAAGAAGAAACATAATTTTCAAGAAAACCTATAAGTAAAAATAAGGTTACAGTAATTAAATTTTCCACTGCAGTATTGTGCAGATTAAATGATTTTATAATGTAAAAAAGAAAATTATAATTACTTTTATGAATATCACGCTTCGTTTCCCTTATATAAAAATCGGGATTTCTTGATAAAGTTTTAACCTTCATTGTTGCATTGTTTTTTTAGGCACAGCACGTGGATGTTTTTATTAGATTAGATGACTTTTTGCATAGTGGATAAGGTAGGTTAGTTTTAGTTAGGGTGCATTCATACGACTAACGACCGTCAGGGTGCAGTCCCATGTCCAGGGATGGGTGCGTATAATACATGATGTATAATACGTGGTTTTAGGGAGCATTTAGGGTGCGATCCCATGTGAGCAGAATACGTCGACCGAAAGCAGAAAATCATGAGAGTGAAAAGAACAACAATATCTACCTATCTCTTTTGCACTCATGATTTTCTGTTTTCGGTCGACGTATTCTGCTGTAATGGGATTGCACCCTTACACCTTCGGTAAAAATTTCCAGAACGGAAAATTTTTCATTGGAGTAAGAGAGACAGACTGTGTATCTGACTCTCTTACTCCAATGTAAATTTTCCGTTCTGGACAATTTTTACAGAAGGTGTAAACGCTCCATAAGGGTGCGATCCCATGTAAGCAGAATACGTCGACCGAAAGCAAAAAATCATGAATGGAAAAGAGATAGGTAGATATTGTTGTTCTTTTCACTCTCATAATTTTCTGCTTTCGGTCGACGTATTCTGCTCACATGGGATCGCACCCTAAGGGTACATTTATCACTGATCTCTCTGATATTAAAGGCCAACGCAGAATAGAATCTTTAACCGGAACCGCAATCGTAAAGGCCAACGCAGAATAGATCTGTAACCGGAACCGCAATCGTAACCGTAAGCGGAAGAATGAGTTAGAGAAGGATAAACAATATACCTATCCTTCTTTAACTCATTCTTGCGGTTACGCTTACGATTGCGGTTCCGGTTACAGATCTATTCTGCGTTGGCCTTAAGCGTAACCGTAAGAATGAGATAACGAAAGATAGGTATATTGTTTATCCTTCTCTAACTCATTCTTACGCTTACGGTTACGATTGCGGTTCCGGTTACAGATCTATTCTGCGTTGGCCTTAACTGGATGGGCGATTGCTATGTAGAAAAGTGGCTTCCGGTGTGAAAATAATTGAAACCCTCTACGCCACGCTTTAAATGCCGGTGTAACAGCGTAGAGCGACTTTGATTGTGTGAGTTGCCGTGTGAGTGTGCTTTTGATATAGTGTGTGTGTGTTTCCAATGTTTTGACATCTCAAGTGCTTTAATAATTTTAATTTAACTTTTGTGATATAAAACACAGACAAGGTGTTAATTTGTTTATATTGTGGAAAAAAGAAGCAAAGGGTGTTTCTTTTCACATGAAAGTACATATTTAAACAGAAATAATATTTGAGTTTATATAATGTTTGAATACTAAAAGTTCTGTTACTATAGTAATTAATCAGTTTTTAAAATAAAATAAGTGAATAATAAATTATTTAATTAAGAAAGTAATTGACGGTTAATTAATTATTAGATTTAAAAAATTTGCTAATCAGTTAAGTACTTTTCTATACAGCAAAACGTATATCAATCTCACTTTTATATTTAAAAATTTCCGCCATTTGTGTAAAAGTGGGCATCTAAAATATGGCGTTTCCGGTCTTCTAATATTTTGCAGTTTTAGATACAGTCGCCCATCCAGTTATATATAGAGATCAGTGACATTTATACGACGGTCGGTAGAAAAAAAAATTTACCGAAAAAGTCAAAATCGCGTTCACACTTCGCTTTTCCGATATAATGGAAAAACCACTGATCTCTATATATAACTGGATGGGCGACTGTATCTAAAACTGCAAAATATTAGAAGACCGGAAACGCCACATTTTAGATGCCCACTTTTACACAAATGGCGGAAATTTTTAAATATAAAAGTGAGATTGATATACGTTTTCTGTATAGAAAAGTACTTAACTGATTAGCAAATTTTTTAAATTTAATAATTAATTAACCGTCAATTACTTTCTTAATTAATTAATTTATTATTCACTTATTTTATTTTAAAAACTGATTAATTAATATAGTAACAGAACTTTTAGTATTCAAACTTTATTGGGATCCGAAATCATGTGAAACTGACCCACCCCTGTACCCACTTGCGTCCGACATCTTGGTTTTTTATCTCTGTTTTTACATATGTTAGAGAGAGACGAAATGAAAAGACAACTACCGCAAGTGGGTCGACACCAGAGGGCCTACGCAGCTCTGCGGTTCCCAATATAAACTCAAATATTATTGAAATAATATTTTTATTTTTAAATAATAATTGATTAAAAACAATATTTTTTTAATTTGGTAAGGAAACTAAAATTTTTCAGCATTACACTATTATGTGTTTAACAATACGCAAACCTAAAAATATACACTTCAATAATATGTATTTACTGTTTATATATGTACTTTCATGTGAAAAGAAACACCCTTTGCTTCTTTTTTTCCACAATATAAACAAGTTAACACCTTGTCTGTGTTTTATATCACAAAAGTTAAATTAAAATTATTAAAGCACTTGAGATGTCAAAACATTGGAAACACACACACACACACTATATCAAAAGCACACTCACACGGCAACTCACACAATCAAAGTCGCTCTACGCTGTTACACCGGCATCTAAAGCGTGGCGTAGAGGGTTTCAATTATTTTCACACCGGAAGCCACTTTTCTACAGCAATCGCCCATCCAGTTAATATAGAGATCAGTGGGAAAAACTGTTTCTAACGGGAATACATATTAAAATTTATATTTTATTTAAAATTAATTAGCACTGTTTTAAGTAAGAAAAATCAAGTTTTTATTATATGAATATTGTTTTTTAATGATTTACATTAGGAAGATAAATTCTCTTGATAAATAATCATGTGAATAAATATTAATTAACTTTTGTTTTAAAAAGTCGTAAGCATAACGTTACAGCTGTTGTTGATGCGGAGTTTTGTGTGAAATTGTAAGTATAATGATAAATTATTAAATAATATTTATATAATTTAAATAAAAATGTTTAATAGGGATATTTATTATGCATTCTTTTTTTTTTTTTTTTTTTTTCTTAAATGACTTGAAGCTAGGCCAACTGTCAGAACACACACTCTTATATACCAACTACTTTTTGCGTTTCTACAGAACGACTTTTTGAGGTTAGGAGTACTCGCATTTGCCTGGACCACCCGTCAATGGGTTTTCTCGCCAGAGAAGAGGGAAACTGTAGAAAACCTCTCCTGAGTACAACCGGTTTATCGACAGCCGAGTTTTAACGGTGTGTACTGGACAATAATCGACGTTCATAATGGATTTTTTTCACACAAAACTCCGCATCACCAACAGCTGTGACGTTGCTTACAACTTTTCAAAACAAAAGTTAATTAATATTTAATTACATGGTTATTTATCAAGAAAATTCATCTTTCTATTGTAAATCATTAAAAAACAATATTCATCTTATAAAAACATGATTTTTCTCACTTAAAACAGTGTTAATTCATTTTAATAAAATATAATTTTTAAATTCCCGCTAGGAATAGTTTTTCCATTATATCGGAAAAGCAAAGTGTGAACGCGATTTTGACTTTTTCGGTAAATTTTTTTTACCGACCGTCGTATAAATGTACCCTTAGGCTGGAGTCCCATGACAGCGTTTTGCGTTGCGTTTTGTAACTATACCATGAGTGTGAGAGAGATACAGATATATGTTTGCTCTATTTGCACTCATTGCCTAGTTACAAAACGCAACGCAAAACGGTGCCATGGGACTGCACTCTTAAGGCCTTTCTCCAATAGGTTTTAAAAAGTGTGCGAAGGACTGCGTCTGCGTCGGTTGCTATAGCAACACATGCTAAAATCAACGCAACGCAGTCATTCGCACACTTTTTAAAACCTATTGGAGAAAGGCCTTTAGGCTGCAGTCCCATGGCAGCGTTTTGCGTTGCGTTGTAATGAGAGAGAATGCAGCAAACGTATATTTACGTCTTTTTCTCTCCCATTACGACGCAACGCAAAACGCTGTCATGGGACTCCACCCTTATACATGTATAATACTACGTTTATTACGTCCTAGGTTTTCTACACTGAAAAAAATTCTTAGTAGATTTGACTACTTTTTAACTACGTTCCTAAGGCCGCAGTCCCATGGCAGCGTTTTGCGTTGCGTTGTAATGAAAGAGAATGCAGCAAACGTATATTTGCGTCTTTTTCTCTCCCATTACGACGCAACGCAAAACGCTGTCATGGGACTTCACCCTTAGGCTGGAGTCCCATGGCACCGTTTTGCGTTGCGTTTTGTAACTAGGCCATGAGTGTGAGAGAGATGGAGATATATGTTTGCTATATTTGCACTCATGGCCTAGTTTTCAAAACGCAACGCAAAACGGTGCCATGGGACTCCACCCTTAGTTCAATAAGTCCCCAAAGATAATTTTGAACTTACATTAATTATCAGATATGTAGTTGAATGAAGTGATAATACAGTTGCATTAACTACTTTTCTTAGTTAAATAGGAACCAATGACAGTTTTGCAGTAGAATTAACTGCTGATATGACCCTAACATTCGTAAACCGATAACCTAACCACGCTCGCCCGCTACGATGAGTTGCTTAATACTTAAAGGCATTCCTGACACAGTTCAACTGATAACTGTAGTTAATTTTACTACTTAAAGTAGTTGCATTTACAACTTTTCACAGTTGATAATCTTCTATAAAAATCTATAACATAAATTACATGGAAAATACAAGAAGACTAGAAACAGGAGGTCTAACTTGGTAGTGGGGGGAATGTAATAGACGTGGGGCCATGAGTCAGCTGGTGTTTGTTTTCTTGGCATTTGCGCTGTGAACCAGTTTTGTTCTCTCGCGCGTACTTGATATATACATCCAACTTGTATACATCGTAAGCACGTTGTATTTTATCACGTGTTTGATTTTTCGTATTCCCAAGAAATTTTTCGTGCAGACAGATTGTTATCTGTTACAAAAATAATATTTAATAGTTGTTTTCTACATAAAAGAATCTATATAAAAGAAACTCATAAAAAAAATTAGCCATAATAAATATTACCTTCAAACGTTTCCAATGAGTCGCTAATTTTCAATTATTAAAAAACAAGAATATTATTTTCAATATTCTTAAATTTTTCTAAACTTTATCACTTTTAAACCTCTTTTCAATAACTATGCTTGCCAAGCATAAAACGCATAACCTATTCTAAACACACAATAGCAGACAGCTGTCATTTTCGGTATATAATCTCAATGTGGTTATTATGCGCGAAATTACAAAATTCATCTATCGCGCAAATTCCCAAACTGAAAACTCCACCGTCTCTAGACCCCACTATTTCTACCCCCACTGCACATAGAAATCAAGCGAAGTTTGACCTCCTGTTTCTAGTCTTCTTGGGAAAATAATTCAACTCCTAGAAGAAGTAAAAACTACTACAAAATTAGTCTATCGAACTACTTTAAGTAGTAGAATCTACTACTTTCTGTAGTCATTTCTGTAACATACCTGCAGTTACAAAGTTAACGATAAAATTACATTAATTTAATTAATAATTTTTAACTACATAAAACAGTTAAAATAAGTATCAAAAGTAGCCAGACCAACTAAAAAAGTAGTTCGTTTTATTACTTTTTACTCTACTAAGGGGATGTAGTTGAAAATGTCTCATGTATTTTTTTCAGTGTACATTAGGCTGGAGTCCCATGACAGCGTTTTGCGTTGCGTTTTGTAACTAGTCCATGAGTGTGAGAGGGATGGAGATATACGTTTGCTATATTTGCACTCATGGCCTAGTTACAAAACGCAACACAAAACGCTGTCATGGGACTCCACCCTAAGAGCGTCCCGCTTTTATGGAGCGTTTACACCTTCTGTAAAAATTGTCCAGAAAGGAAAATTTTTACAGAAGGTGTAAACGCTTCATTATGCATCTTAGATCGAAGTGTGAATTCCTCATAAGAGGAGACGCATGCATATCCCCTAATCGCCAAGTCGTCGAATGATCAAATAGTCGAATGCCAAGTAATCGAATGGACAAAACGTCGAATGCTAAAAACATCGAATCGGCATTTAGTCGAATGCTTAAAACATCGAATTGTCAATACGTCGAATTATCAATTTGTCGATTTATCAATTAGTCGAATGTTAAAAATATCGAATCGTCAATACGACGAATGTTTAAAAAGTCGAATTATCAATTCATCGAATGTTAAAAACATCGAATTGTCAATACGTCGATTGTTCAAAACGTCGAATGATAAAAACGTCGAATGCTAAAAACATCGAATCGTCATGTAGTCGAATGCTAAAAATATCGAATCTTCAGTTAATCGAATGCTAAAAACATCGAATTCTCAATTCGTCGAATGTTTAAAACGTCGAATGCTAAAAACGTCGAATCGTCATTTAGTCGAATGCTCAAAACGTCGAATCGGCATTTAGTCGAATGGTAAAACCATCGAATAGTCCATTCGTCGAATGCTTAAATAGTCGAAACGCCATTTGTTCGAATTATCAAGTAGTAGAATGGTAAAGTTGTCGAATGTTCAAAACGTCGAATCGTCATCTGTTCGAATTGCCAAGTAGTAGAATGGTAAAGAAGTCGAATATAGACAAAAAGTCGAAACGCCATCTGTTCGAATTATCAAGTAGTAGAATGGTAAAGTTGTCGAATGTTCAAAACATCGAATCGTCATTTAGTCGAATGCTAAAAACATCGAATCTTCATTTAATCGAATGCTAAAAACATCGAATTCTCAATTCGTCGAATGTTCAAAACGTCGAATGATAAAAACGTCGAATGCTAAAAACATCGAATCGTCAACATGTCGAATGTTCAAAACGTCGAATTATCAATTTGTCGAATGCTCAAAACATCGAATTGTTAATTCATCGAATGCTTAAATCATCGAATTTTCCATTCGTCGAATGTTCAAAACGTCGAATGATCAAAACGTCGAATGCTAAAAACATCGAATTCTCAAATCGTCGAATGCTTAAATAGTCGAAACGCCATCTGTTCGAAATGTCAAGTAGTAGAATGGTAAAGTAGTCGAAACGCCATCTGTTCGAATTGCCAAGTAGTAGAATGGTAAAGTAGTCGAATGTTCAAAACGTCGAATTCTCAATTCGTCGAATGCTAAAAACATCGAATCGTCAAAAGTTCGAAAAAGTTCTTTGTTTTAAGTTAATGTCTACTGAAGACAAAGAACTATTTCGAACTTTTGACGATTCGATGTTTTTAGCATTCGACGTTTTTATCATTCGACGTTTTGAGCATTCGACGAATTAACAGTTTGATGTTCTGAGCATTCGACGTTTTTATCATTCGACGTTTTGAACATTCGACTACTTTACCATTCTACTACTTGGCAATTCGAACAGATGGCGTTTCGACTACTTTACCATTCGACTACTCTACCATTCTCCTACTTGACATTTCGAACAGATGGCGTTTCGACTATTTGAGCATTCGACGATTTGAGAATTCGATGTTTTTAGCACTCGACGTTTTGATTATTCGACGTTTTGAACATTCGACGAATGGAAAATTCGATGATTTAAGCATTCGATGAATTAACAATTCGATGTTTTGAGCATTCGACAAATTGATAATTCGACGTTTTGAACATTCGACATGTTGACGATTCGATGTTTTTATCATTCGACGTTTTGAACATTCGACAACTTTACCATTCTACTACTTGATAATTCGAACAGATAGCGTTTCGACTTTTTGTCTATTCGACAACTTTACCATTCTACTACTTGATAATTCGAACAAATGGCGTTTCGACTATTTAAGCATTCGACGAAAGGACTATTCGATGGTTTTAGTATTCGACGTTTTGAACATTCGACGAAGTGAGAATTCGATGTTTTTAGCATTCGATTAACTGAAGATTCGATATTTTTAGCATTCGACTACATGACGATTCGATGTTTTTAGCATTCGACGTTTTTATCATTCGACGTTTTGAACATTCGACGTATTGACAATTCGATGTTTTTAACATTCAAAGAATTGATAATTCGACGTTTTGAACATTTGTCGTATTGACGATTCGATATTTTTAACATTCGACTAATTGATAAATCGACGAATTGATAATTCGACGTATTGACAATTCGATGTTTTTAGCATTCGACTAAATGCCGATTCGATGTTTTTAGCATTCGACGATTTGTCCATTCGATTACTTGGCATTCGACTATTTGATCATTCGACGACTTGGCGATTAGGGGATATGCATGCGTCTCCTTAAGGCCTTTCTCCAATAGGTTCCCAAAACTCTGTGTCTGCGTCGGTTGCTATAGCAACACATGCTAAAATCAACGCAACGCAGTCATTCGCAGACAAACGCAGAGTTTTTGGATCCTATTGGAGAAAGGCCTCAATAGGTTTTAAAAAGTGTGCGAATGACTGCGTTGCGTTGATTTTAGCATGTGTTGCTATAGCAACCGACGCAGACGCAGTCATTCGCACACTTTTAAAACCTATTGGAGAAAGGCCTTAAGAGCATCACGAAAAACGAAAAAGCGTGTGCGCTGATCTTTACATTTCGTACATAACCTAATCTGTCATGTTTATGTTGGCTTGTGCTTAAAAGCACTTGTAATTCATAGTGCTTCTATATTATATTAATTAAAAAGTTTCATAATTATATTATTGTTTTTAAAATGCAACAGACTTTTTTGATGTTAATTGTTATGAAGAGATGATATCATTAACATGACACGTAATAAGGTATAACACAAGTTAAGGTTATTTTCATACTAGTATATTAAGTTTACACATATTTTATTATTGTTTTGAAATGCAGCAGGAAATGTGTGGTTCAAGTGTTACAATAGAAAATTTTATTTCTACTCCATATTTATTATCAATTTAGAAGATAAAAGTATATACTTATACTTTTTGATAGAGGTCTCAAATAATGTTATGACTTTCTTTTAGTAATGTGCCGTTTCCGAAATTTATACTTTTCGAAACTTTCAGTTGAAAGTTTCAAATTAATTGAAATTTATGAAATTTTAGCCTTAACCTCTAATTTTTTAAAACTAATAATTTACAAATTATTTAGTTATGTTTCCAATTATTCCTTTTAACTGTAAAATACAAATACTATACTATTCTGAATATATATTTATATAAATAAATATTTTGAATTAATACTAATTCAAAATATTTATTTTTACAAAAACTTATTTCCTTAATTTTAATTTTCATAAATTTTTAAAAAATTTTATTATCTTAAAAATAAGATTTCAAGGATCACATGAATGAATAGTTAAATATGTTTACAATAACAAGTTTGTGCAGGTTAAGAATTTAAAATAAGCACAAATTCTATTAATTTCCACACTGTAAAAAAAATTTTCTGTAGATTTACAGTTTTCTATAGGAATTTGTAAAATAACATCTTTAAAAGTAGCGAATTTACAATCCCTTTAGTGAAATTACTACTTTAAGCGTGTCAATTTTACAATTTTCTGTAAATTTACTACTATGAAAGTAGGTAATAATTTTGTCCTTTTATTACCTACTTTCATACACTGTAAAAAAATCTGGTGTAAAATAACACGAAACTTGTAATTTCACACATCAAAATTATAGGTTGTACGTAGTAAATTTATTTCGTTCCAAAAGTAGTTTTACTATTTTTAATAATTTGATATTATACGACTATGTAATTTAATAGTTTTGTGTAAATTTACTACGTCCGACGTAGGAAAATTTGATCACTATGTCCGACGTGGTATTTTTACATTGCGCATATTTCTACACTTTGACGTAATATTACGTCGCACGATCTGTATAATTACATGGCGAATGTAATTTTCTTATTCCTTTAAGATTTTCAAAAAATTTTTAAGTTTTTATAAATAACTCTAAAAAAGTGTATATAATATGTACATTTATAGAAAGTATATGCTAATTTATAAGTAAATAATAATATTACAAAAAGTTTTGGGCTATATTTTATAAATACAAAAAGTTACGACTGAAAATATTATTTCAAAAAATATTTGCAGGTTATGTAGATTACAGTCGGCGTGTAAAAATACCACGTCGGACATAGTGACCAAACTTTCCAACGTTGGACATAGTAAATTTACACCAGATTTTTTTACAGTGTAGTAGTAAATTTACAGAAAATTGTAAAATTGACACGCTTAAAGTAGTAATCTCACTAAAGGGATTGTAAATTCGCTACTTTTAAAGATGTTACTTTACAAATTCCTATAGAAAACTGTACACTGTAAAAAAGACCAATGTTGAATTACAATCGGGTCGTTAATTTTAAATTTTCCAGTTTGTAATTTTACTACGGTACACGTAATAATTTAACACCCATATAGTATTTTCACAATTAAAAAGTAAAATTATTACGCTTATCGTTGTAAATGTGTCACGCGTTAGTAAATGTACATCCCGAATGTTTAATCATTTCGTGATACATTGGAAACTTTTCGCTTCACGTATAACGTTGTATGTTAGCAACCCAACCGTAAAAATATTTTCGTGTGTTAAGTAACTTACATCTGATAGTTTTACCGACAGTATGTAGAATTATGTAGCTGTCTGTAAGTATACATTCGAATATGATATTTTTTGCCCGAATGTTTTTCTACACTGCGTGACGATGAAGTGGCATATAAGAAACTATGCGCATAGGCAAACGTTAATATTTTAATTTTAATTTATTAAAATTTCGACAATTTTAAGAATTTAAAGATTAAAGGAAATTTGTAAAGGTAAGTTCAAATTCTTAACATTTTTCATTTCTTAAATTTGAAAGATTTCTTTTTAATTTTTCATATATATCAAAGTTAATAAGGTAATGTCTTTTAACCTAAAAAGAGACACGTTTTTAATGATTTTTTATACTTAAAAAATTTTATTCAACTGTGTGAATTTTCTGTATGAAAATAATTTTCAAACATAAAAAAATTTTTCAGAATATCTTCATGGACTCTATTGCTTAAGCAGCTCGTATTTTTTTAAAATTAAAGTGGAAAAAGTATCTGTTTTTCCTGTTCTGTTGGGGAATTCGTTAACTTTGTACAAATGACAAAAAAGCTACAAATGTGATTTGTATATTATAAATATTTAATATATTTATTTATTTCTTACATTTTTCCTTTATTTCCTTTTTATAATTTAACCTTTATGTAATACAAAATAAATATAAAAAAGAATAATTTTAAAATGCAGCGAAATTATTATGTAAAATTACCGACGAGTGGTCGATTTACAATTTGATGCGAAATCACATAAGAGAGGTTATGTTACGAACGGTAAGTAAGTTAACATTTGGGCTGTAATAGTACTACGTCATACGTGAAGCGAAAAGTTTCCAACGTTACACGTTGTAAATTTACATTGGGCTTTTTTACAGTGTAAATCTACAGAAGATTTTTTTTACAGTGCAATCATGATTGAGACTTGACATAACCAAAATACCTGCAAAATACCATATTTACAAATTTTATAAATTTCATGAAAAATTTCATCGATCATAAATTTCATGATTTGAAACTTTCAAAACGAAAGTTTCCAATTGAAAGTTTCAAGGGCACATTACTACTTTCTTTATTCGTAGTTAACCTTTAAAATCTTAATGTGTAAAAAAAATTTTCTGTAGATGTACAGTTTTGTTCACAATTTTATAGAAAATTGTAAAATAACGTCTTTAAAAGTTGCGAATTTAAAATCCTTTCTGTAAAATTGTAAAATTGACACATTAAAAGTGTACTTTCAGAGTAGTAAATTTACAGAAAATTGTAAAATTGACGCATTAAAAGTATTAATTTTACAGAAGGAATTTTAAATTTACTACTTTTAAAGACGTTATTTTACAAGTTTCTATAAAATTCTAAACAAAACTGTAAATCTACAAAAAAAAATTTTCACAATAATTGATAAAATCAATCAATATTGATTTTGATAAAATACAATTATTATGTAATGATTCCAATATTTGAAAATTTTTATTTTTTTTATTAAAAAGTAAAAATTTTCTATTTCAAATAAATTAAGTCTTTAAAGATATTACGTTATTCCATAATTTTTATTCAATTTCTACCAAAGAAATTTTTTTAATAAAATATTCATTTTCATGTTATTAAAAATTTATTTCACTTATTGAAATCAAAGTCTTTTTTACATTGATTTATTTTTAATTGCATAGTACAAGCATTATAGGTAGTCCCTTTTTCCTCTTTTGTCACCTTTTTTGATGATTTTGATTATTGATGGCAGTGTAATCATAAAATTTAGACTCAATATTTAAATTTGGTGCGTTTTATTTTTGACTTAGATTATTAATACGACAATAATTATTCACATATTTTTATTGTTTGTGATTTAAATAATATAGTGTAAAAATTTTTTTAAATATTAAGATGGTTCATCCAACAGAATGCAGACCTCTGGAATAGTTATTTTCGTATCAAGGGCGCAAAATATGTGATTTCGCCAGAGTCGTAATCACCTTTGCGCCCATGATGCGAACATAATTTTTTGTCCTAACTGCATGGAAAGTATGGCATTGAGGGCACGATCGATTAAACGCTCATATTAGTTGAAAATTAAACTCTATATAAATGTTAACTCTTTGAAGTCTATAATGATAGAAGTTTTAATATAGAAATAAGAAAACAATGTATTCTGGAAATATAGTATTTATTTATTTAGAACGTAGTAATTAATAATTACACAAAACCGAAACAAGAACGTTTAAAATTGACAATTTTTACAAACGAAATGGGAACAAAACCAAATGTGTCATAATTTTTTTAGAGAAAATCGAAAAAAATTGCACATTTTTATAGACAAAATAAAACAAGTTGAAAATGTTTGCATTTTTATAGTCAATATAAAAAGAAAGTCGAAAATATCGAATTTTAATGAAGAAAATCGAATAATTAACATGCGGGAGCAAAATACTTTTCCGCCCGCTTGGATGTAGGGGAAGCGGGCGGAAAATACTATTACCGCCCGCTTCCCTTACTCCCGGGCGGAATGTGTTACTTTGCGCCCGCCTTAAGTCCCCGAAATGACATACTTTCCGTGCAGGTTGGACAAAAAAATAATTAAAATATTATTAATAGTATTTTTTAGAAAAACAAAAATACCAATTTTCGAGACAAAAATTAACAATCAAAATATTTTTTTTTTTTAATTTACACAAAATCCAAAATTTTTGGCACATCGTTTCTATAGAATTTTTTAAAAATTATCCGTTTTTAATGTACCTACGCCCAGTAGGATTTGCTCACCCTACTGCAAATAAAAACATTACAAAAAGTTATTTATTTTAATTTCTAGTAAAGATAGAAAGCTGCAGTGTTGCCAACGACATGGAAATTTCCCGGAATACGGGAAATTTTGACTATAATGGGAAATTTTACGGGAAATGGATAAATTACGGGAAATTCTTTAATAGAACACAAATTTTAATGATGTTTAACTAAAATCAAATTTTAGAAACTTTTATTGGCAAAACCAATCAAATTTGTTTTATCGGCATGTGTATAAATATATCCGTCGACTGGTCTGTGAAGATTACTGGTGTAAAGTTTTCCAATTAACAAATGCATCAAACACAAAAATATTTAATAATTTAAAAATAGTTATCCGACTCCTTTTGGTTTTGCCCTTCTCGAATGCCTCAGTTGAGCGATTAAGAGTTTTATGTAAATTTAAAATTTAATTCTAATTTTTTAAATAATAAATTAAGA